GGGCAGCACTTTGAGCGGACTTGGGTGCAGGCACCGGGGGGCCCAGACCTTGAGCTGTGTCAGGGGCCCCAAAATTTCTGATGGCAGCCCTGATAAGTTGATTATAACATAAGTATCAGCAGTAGCAGAGCTACAGAGGTCGCTGAGGTTCTGAGTGCAACCGTGCCCTCTTAGTTCCATCGGTCAGGTTGGCCCAAGAGTTGGCCCAATGGCAACCTTTGTGCCCCTCCAAAGCAGCCAGCTGTGTGCTAAGGCAGAGTAAGCACCTGCCTACCAGGATGGTAGGTGATTACTCTGCCTAAATACAATGTCCGGTGAGAGAATGGAGAAGACAGGTGGTGAGGGAGCTGTCAACTTCATGCTCTCACTGCACTGCTTCCTTGCGTATCCTGCAGATATGATGGGAGCCTAGATATGACATCACTCTAGTCTAGCCCAAGCACCACTATATGGCACTTGAAGGAGCAGTGCAAGAAGAGCATGAATGTGACAGTCAATGCAGCCCCACTAAGCCCCAGAGAAAGGACTCCCACTGTACCCTCAGGGTAATAATATATTCCAGCTCCCCCAAAATAATTTTACAAAATAAAAATTTGTGAATATGTGACAAAATGTGTGTGTGTGTATCAGTATCAGTGAGAGTGTGTGTCTGTCAGTGTATTTATGTCTGTCAGTTTGTGTATGTAACTGAGTGTCTGTGAGTGTGTGTTTGTCAGTGTGTGTAAAATCAGTGAGAGTGTGTTTCTGTCAGTGAGTGTGTCTGCACATGCGTCTGATGTCAGCCCATGCGTCTGATGTCAGACGCTGCCGTGTTAAAGGGAAGCCACGGCAACTTTGAAATTGCTCAGTCAATTTGTTGCAAAGTGATACAAAGTTGCAGTCTGTGCTCCCTGTGATATTTACCTGAGTACCGAACCTCTGATCTCCCAAACTGACTTTGCTGACCTCTATACTCCCTGGACACAGAACAAACCTTGACTATTCTACTGTCTCCTCCTTCAAACTAAGTTGTTTGATAATTTTGCTGCAAGTAAATTGCTACATTGACTTAACCCTTCATTTGCCTGCTGACCAAGGATAATCTCAGCCACTATAAATATCAGCATTTCATTTAAATCCTGAATTCTTCCTGCTGAACTCCAGCAATAATCTGCTTGTTTATCATATTTCAACTCTGCATTATTTATCATACTGAATTATTTCACAAGTTTATCTAAAAAGAAACTTTATTTTCTTGAAGCAAGCACCACTTTTTTATTTCTTAAAGTGACAGTACATATTAATTTAAATTCTGCAATTGTGTTCCAAGGAATGTTATTTTCTTGTGTATTACAGTCAGTGAGTGTGTGTGTTTGTCAGTACACATGTATGTCTGTCATTAAATGTGTGTGTTTGCCAGTGAATGTCTGTCAGTGTGTGTGTCTGTCAGTAAATGCGAATGTCCATCAGTGAATGTGCGTGTGTCTGTCAGTTTGTATGTTTCCATTAGTGGATGTGTTTGTGTCTGTCAGTTTTGTCAGTAAGTGTGCATCAGTCTATGTGTATCAGTAAATGTGTC